AATGAATTATTCTCCTTTATTGTTACAGCTGTATTTGTAGCTGTTCCATCCCTAAAGTTGGAAAGACAACTGATGGAGAATTGGGACTTTGAAAAAAAACAACGGGTGATTTTGTCTGCAACAGACCCTTAGGTCTAATATTCTCCACCTATGAGGAAACCCTAACACTGAATTTAATAGCCATGGGATGCTTGCAGAATTTGAGAAGGTATTTTTGGAAGGGGTGGGCAGGAGATCAGAATGGAATATTTCGAATGGACATATCTAGTTAGCTATAGAGAGTGAACCTCTTTGTTCTAGGTTTACTTCTAAAATAGTAATTACTATTCAATGGAAAATGAGCAGCCTACTACAAGGCTGAGTTTTTGCATTTCAGAATTGAATAACAGAATAGAATAACAGAATTGGAAGGGACTTTGGAGGTCTTCTAGTCCATCCCCCTGTTTAGGCAGGAAATCCTACACTACTTCAGACAAATGGTTATCCAACATCTTCTTAAGAACTTCCAGTGTTGGAACTGGAAGTATGGAATCTAGACAATACGCCATTAAAAAGGGAGGGAAGAGGGGGGAAAATAGAAAAGAAAATAATAGTAATTAAATATATATATTCAAAAGTAAGATACAAAGGGAGGGGGGAACATAATCAGGATAGATTTGAGAAGGAAAGGGAACAAGAAATGATATCCAGCTATTTTTGGGTTTGCGGAAATACCACCCTAAGAAAATAAAAATTAAGAGCTGGAAGGGACACCTACAATAGAAAAAGAAAGGAAGAGAGGAGGAGAGGAAATGAGAGGAAGAGGAGGGAAGAAAGATAGCGGTAAGGAGAGGAAGATGGAAGGGAGAGAGAGAAGGAGAGAGGGTAGGAAGAGGAAGAGAGGAGTAGGGGAGAGATAAGGGAAGAAGGAAGGGAAAGGAGAGGAGGAAGGAAGAAAGTAGAGAAGGGAGGGAGAGAAGAAAGGGAAAATAAGGTGGTGTCAAAACAGGTGAGGGATGGTAAACAAAGTAACCCAAATTGTTTAAAGGGAATAACAAATACACAAGAAGGTCAAATGTAAAAAAGAATAATAATTATGTGAATGTATACCTTTAATTGTATGTAAGAGAACAAAAAATAAAATAAAAACTTCTGGGGAAAAAAAGAACTTCCAGTGTTGGAGCATTCACAACTTCTGGAGTCCTGCATGTACACCTTTTTGCAGGTGCACAGATCCCAAACTTCCTTCTCGATCTGATTGATAAGAAAACTTCGCCAACGTGTCAAATGTTTTACCCATAAAGCGAATGCGTCTACATTGCGCAAATCTAGTCTGATTTTTTTTCCCTTTCAGGTACAAATTGGCCTGAAACCCAACAGACAAGAGCCAAATTAGCGAGTTCTCCATGCCACCAAAGTATAAGATTGCCTTATTTGTCTGTGAAGGTACTTGATAGACCAATCATTTCTTGGAAATTATCCGTGGGAACAATCTTCAAAAAGATGCTGTAGCCGAAGAGCCAACACAATGGACAAAAGGTGTAGAAAGGCCTCCGGAGTTTGATGGAATCCCATCAAGATGATAGAAGCTCTCGGAACAACTGGCTGGTTTTCTTTGTGAAGGGGGGAAGAGGTGAGCAAATTATGAAACTCAATTTGTGAAACCAATATCACTGTTGTATTGAAGCTAAATGAAGGCTTCCTACCTTGTTCCAGACCGGGCCAATCTTATTGGTGTTGGTGGGTGATACGCTTTTATTTAGAAATTGGAGACACGTGAACATTCTTGAAATCAAAAGTGAGTTTCATCTTGGGCAGACTTCGTCTGAATTAAACCAAGTATTTTATTGAAGGAGTTTTGACAGCAGGCTAGGGGGAAAGACGTGCGTTTAATATTTAAAAATTAAATTAAATTTTTAAAAAATGAATGTAATATTATAATGACATAATAATTTAAGGTAAATCGCTCCAATCCTGATTGCAGAAAATACGACTTCAGCAACAGAGTGGTCAATGCCTCGAATGCACTACCTGACATTGTGGTTTCTTTCCCAACCCCCCAAAACGTTAACCTTAGACTGTCTACTGTTGACCTCACCCCATTCCTTAAGGGGTGCGCACCAGTGTGCCTACCATCCCTGCCCTAATATTCCCTTGTATTCGCATTCATACATATACTTATATCTGTTATCTAATTCATGCTTGACGAAATAAATCAATAAAATAAATCAATAGTCGTACTTACCATATTTTTCGGAGTATAAGATGCACCTTCCCCCCCTGAAAAAGAGGGTGAAAATTTGGGTGCATCTTATACTCCGAAAAATATGGTAAGTACGACTATTGATTTATTTTATTGATTTATTTCGTCAAGCATGAATTAGATAACAGATATAAGTATATGTATGAATGCGAATACAAGGGAATATTAGGGCAGGGATGGTAGGCACACTGGTGCGCACCCCTTAAG